CACACTTAGAGCAGAGCCTCGCCGCCTGGCGAGGACATGCTGCCTGACCCCTGGGTGCCCAGTATGCCCCAGTCTCCCCCGGTGCCCCCAGTGTCCCCCGGTGTCCCCCCTGTCTCCCAGTGCCCCCCAGCATCCCCCCATGTCCTCTGGTGACCCCCAGTGTCCCCCATGTCCCCCGGTGCCCCTGTGTCCCCCAGTGTCCATGTCCCCCAGTGCCCCAGTGCCCCCCGGTGTCCCATGTCCCCTGGTGCCCCCAGTGTCCCCCGGTGACCCCAGTGCCCTCCAGTGTTCACTGGGCAACCCGAAGACCACAGAACCCGAAACCGGATTTACTGCAGGGGGAAAGAGAGCGGGTGGCGGGCGCACAGGGCGGGGGGACCTGCACCTGCCCCAGGCTGCCAGCCTCCAGCCGGCCTGTGCTGGGCCCGCGATGCCCCCAGCTGCCCCCTCCCTGCGACCCCGTGCCCCAAAGCTCCCAGAGGCTTGCGGGCCCATCAGCAGCCCTGCCCGCGTGGGGCCTGCCTCCAGGACAAGGGGCATGGGCATGGGGCGGGCGGAGCAGGGAGGCCCGGGACTGCCGCCTGGACACTCCACCGTGACCCAGAGCCCACGGGCCCACACAGGCGCCCTGCCTTAAGCAGCCTGCACTTGGGCCCGGGAAATCCATTGAACCAGCAAAGCCTCTTCCTTATGGAAGGAATTGCCCCCCAGCCCCGGGGAAGCCCCCCTCCCCCTGGCGGCCCCCCTCACCTCTCGGAGTGAGGCCTGAGGTAGGAACAGGCAAGCCTCGGACTCCAGGAGGACAGAAGGACGACTCCTGGACACAGCTTCCTACATCGTGGAACATTTCGAGAAAGGATAAAGGCCAAGCCACAGGCGACCAGGACCCTTGGGGGGTGCGGGGCCCAGGAGACGCGGGGCGTCCTGGGCCGTTGGGGAGAGGGCGGGCGAGGCTGACCCACCTCCCGGGCACAGGGCCCAGCGTGCTCCCGGGTGCGGACCATCGGTGCCCACACCCACGGCCCAGGCAAGCATGGACCCTTCCGGGAGGCGACCAACCAGGGGCCAGCGCCTCGTCACCCACTGGCCCAGAGGGCCCAGGGGCAGGGGCACGGCTGCTTGGGCAGGAACCAGCCGCCCTGCCCTGTCCCTGCAGCGTGAGCGTGAGCGGCCTCCCCGTGGCCCCGCACCTCCCAGGGGACCTGCCCGTCGTGGCTCCAGTGGGACCTGCCGGTGCCAACCTGGCTCCTGCCGCCACCGCATCCTCGCCCGCGACGTCCCGGCCCAAGGGCTGGGCGGGCCTCGGGGACCACGGCACATACAAAGCGTCCGTCAGACACAGGACAAGCTATCAAAGGAAGACGTTTTATTTTCAAGTTTCTATGGAGATGTTACAAACAATGGAGACTGAAGGGGGAAAAAAAAACATTTAAAAATTTTAAAACTACCAGCTTAAAATAAAAATATGATTAGGTAAAATAATAAATAATGCCATCCCATGACAACTTTAAGATGAAGGCATGTCCCGTGCCTGGATGAGCCGGCAGGACAGGCTGCCGTGAGCCTGCCCAGCGCCCGAGTGAGGGAGGAATGAAGTGGCCACACCGTCCAAATCTTGACTTTATTTTTTAATATAAAAACCGCATTTTTGGAAACCCACCCTACCTTTTCCCCTAACATAATGCTTTACCTCTTAAAAATAAAAATAAAGTACTAATTCTATATACATCACATGTACCATACAAAAATGTATCCAAAGTTTCTATTGCTACCAAAGTGTTCTAAATTAAAACAAGTTACAGAAAGCCCCCATTGTAAACAAAAGATTACAAGTTACAAAATCAAAGAACACACTGCCAGAGTCATTTACACAACAAGCAACACATCCTGCTCCCAAAGCAAGTTGGATCTTTATGTGCCCGTATAAAAATGCATATCAATATACTTCTGCAAATTTATTTTTCATTATAAAGCAAATGAATACACTTTCTACAATAAATAATCCGCTGGGAGGCACACCCGTGGAAGGCTAGGGCAGGCGGGTGGAGGCTGGAGGCAGACGGGGAGGACGGCGACACCCGGAGGAGGCGCCTGCCCCGGCCCTCACGGGGGGCGGCGGAGTGTTTTTTGGTGATTTGCAAGTGATGTACACAGCATAAATTTATTCTCCACCTCTTTCCACAAAGTACCATCAAAATAATGTCATTTTCTTTCTTAAAATACACATTTGTCATTGTAAATTTACATCCCGTCTTATTAAATAGTGGTACTCCGTGTAAAGAGTATGATTTACAAAATTATTAAACATTCAAAAGTCTTTAAAAAAAAGCTACAGATCAAAGAAAGTGACGCGGGCAGACCTTCCGGCACGGCCTGTGACAGACACAGATAGAGCCGGAGACACGCCCGCACCATTCACAGAGTGCCCAGACGGGGATGGTTTCACAGAGAACGTGGAAATAAAACCTGCCCTCCCGGGGGAGGAAGAAGGAAAGAACCAGGCCCGGAAATCAGAATAAGTTAAGTCTGGAACGATATACACGCATGTACAGCTTATCTCCACTACGGACGAGGCCACGGGGGGCGGGCAGGTCAGTCGATATCACTGAGGTCGCTGCTGGGCTCCCCGTGCACGCGGCTCAGGTGGCTCATGGCGCGGTCGAAGGCGACCCTCACGGCTTTCCTGATGCTGGAGTTCCGCCCCTCCATCATCTTCAGTTTGTCTATGGTCTCGTCCATGCCAAGGGGCACCATTTTGGATTTGGGGAGCCATTGCCTTTGGAAAAGAGAAAAGACAGGAACCGTGAGCAGTGCTCCCTGGAGGCGCTTCACGCGGCAGCCTGGCAGCTCCCAGGGGTGGACAGGCGGCGGACACCAGGCGCTCCGGGGAGGCCCGAGGTGGGGCCTTGGGGACGGGGGGACATCCAAGCCGCTGCCACCTCCCCTCCACGACCCTGACCTGGGGCCGCCGCTTTCCAGCAGCAGCAGCACTCGGACAGCCCAGTGAGCGTGGACACGGGCTTACACGCCCATGCATGTGCACGTGCACATGGGACACCACATGCACTGTCACACAGCGAGCAGGCCAACCAGCCCTCGGACGGCACACGGGGGCCTGAGCCTCCACGGGGTGAGGAGGCGCTCACGGCCGCACAACCAGTCCAGCAGCACCTGCCAACGCTGGCGGTGCCCGCACCTCCTAGCCCAGCCCTGCACAGCGCCTCTGCAACACGGAGCCCCTGGTCGGTACAGGAGCTCTCCAGGCGGAGAAGGGCCAAGGGCACAGCTCCTCGCGCATGCAAACACCAACACCCACCTCCGGAGGGCTTGGGGACAGCCCACGTCTTGGGCTCTGAGGCAGGGAGAGCCTCTGGGCAGAGCTCAGGGGTCTGGGAGCTGATGCCCAAGTGCCCCACCTGGACCCACAACAGGTAAGGAAGAAAGCAGCAGGGCCTGGAGAGCTAGCAGAGCGAGATCGGGCCAGGTGCTGGGCGGTCAGCCCGGTGCCCTCGGGCCTGGGCCACCCGCAGAAGCCCAGCAGGACACAGGAGCGCAGGCCGCTCACATGCATCTCTGTGCACGCGGAGCCCCACATGCCATCAGAGCATCCCTGTCCCTGTGCAGCCCAGGCACCCGCACTCACCAGCTTCTCTTGTTGTCGAAAAACAGAACCAGGAATAGCTTCTCATCAGCCTTGGTCTGCATGTGCTCGCCTATCTTCAGCACGTCCAGCGGCGGGGCCGGGATGGTAACCCCGTTGTGGTGGCCAGGCACACGCGGCATCTTGGGGTCAATGATCTGTCAAGGGAGGACACGTGCGGGTCACGTGTGAGAGCCCCCCCCCCCCCGCTGCACCCTGGAGCACTGTCCTCCGGCCCCCACCTGAGGGGGCTTTCGAAGGCGCTCTCCCAACATCCTGACACCTGCGTGCATGTCCCTCGGCAGGTGCTCACGGGACACCCGGCCCCAGGGCCACATGGCCACATGGCTCTGTGCCCTGACCCCCACGGGGCAGCCCCCGGGGCCCCACACCCACCACCCCGAGGCTCACCAGGGCCGGGTAGGAGGGATAGCCACTGCACTTGGCCCACACGACTTTCAGAGGCTCGAGCACGGAGGCCGCGGCATCGGTGGAAATCCACATGCTGTTCTGACCGACCTCTGCACAGGGAAGGAAACACGAGAAGTTAGCAGGAGAGCGGGGTGCCGTGCGGCCTGAGGCCACCCCTGCGGGAGTCCCAGCGGGTCCCTCACAGTCCTCTAGAGGCTGGAACCCGGGGAGCCCACGCAAGGCTGCAAATCACAGAGGAACCCACGAGGGGCAGCCTCCGTGGAGTCCGATGGCCAGGGAACCTTGAGAAGGGACCATCCACACAACAGACGACACATGCAGGACGAAGTGTCCCTGTGTGCGGGGAGCCCCCCAACACCTTGGGGACAGAGGCCGGCTGCACCGACGTCCCGGCGCACTGCCCCGCGGAGGAGGACGGGGCCCCAACTCACCCGCTGCGATTCTGGCCGCTTTGGCATAGTTCCCGTTCTCAATGCAGGAGATCAGCTCGCTGCGGTCCTCCAGCGTGTGCCTGCGCACCAGGGCGGGCTTGCCCCGGCCACACTTGGGTGCACTGAAGCTGCAGGATGGAAAGCGCAGCTCGGTCAGAAAGCGCTCCGGGCCCTCGGCTCCGCCCGGTGACCAAAGGCCACGGGCCTGTTACAAAGGGGTCTCCACAGGGCAGATGATGGGGCTGCACCGGTCACCCCCAAATCAGGGCAGAACTTTGGCGGAAAAAACAATAACTGTAACCACATATCCAAAACCTGTCCCTGTTTTACAAATGGTTTTACTTCCCATTTTCAGGTAAACGTCACAGAGCACAGGACAGGGCCCCTGAAGAGCAGGACAGAGCATCCCCGGTGGGGGTGGCGGGGACGGGCCAGCTCACAGGGCATGCCCACCTCGAGTCACAGAGCGGGCTGCTGCTGGACGAGATGCTAGACTCCGAGGCGCAGCGTCGTCGGGGCGCAGCTCTCCTTCCAGGGGTGCCACCCAGCTCCTGCTCACTCCGTGCGCCCCCAAAGCCATTGGTGAGACCTGCGACACAGGCACACAGACCCCTCAGTCCTGCACTGCAGCAGAGCCGTCCCTATCCGAGGCCATGCCCGCGCCCCCACCCCCGCAGCGCCCACGACGCGGGACACACGGCAGCGCTTCCCAAGGGACACGAGGGCACCAGCACCAGCAGCTCCTCCCCGGCACGGGGCTCAGCAAAGTGCCTCCCTTGGAAAAGCAACTGAACCAGCTCCCCAAGGCAAAGCCTGGGGCACCCAGCTCCTCCCTCCCAGATCAAAGGGTCTGCGCGCCCGAAGCCCCTGCCCTGGGACCAAGTCCTCGGGATGAGACCCCTCGCCGGGAACGGGGCCGCACGTGGGAGCCTCCGTGGGGCTGAGGTCGCAGGAAACGCATGCACCTCAGAAACACTCGAGATGCTTGAAACCAGAACACAGGCTCTGCAGCCCAGGCCCCAGCCCCGAACCACGGGCACGGCACACACGGCCGGGGCGGCCAGAAGCCACCAGGGGTGGCGGCTCTCAGGTTTTCAAGAACAAAACACAATTCATCTACAATCACAGCAACTCTCTGAGCCAGACTCCTCTCCTGAAGCCCAACGTCCCTGACGCCACGACAGGACGGGCCACGCTGCCCCCTCTCGGTGCAACGGCTGCAGAGTCGGTCCCGTTTTTCTTCCCAGAAAGAATCTCAATCCCGCGCTTAAAAAAATACTCAACCGGGTTCTTTACAAGTGCGTCTGGAGGAGCGGCCCAGACTACAGGGCTCCCTCACCCGCTTTAACACGTCGTGTTTTCTCAGCGGCAGAGCCACATTACGCGAGCGCGGGGAGGACGCTGGCGGCTACGACATGAACGCACACAGGGCGGGTGGCTGTGCCGCCCAGCCCGCAAAGTGAGACCACACGTTCTCAACTCTGTTCATGAGACATCGGGCCCTGTTTCTGAGGGACTCGGCACCACTGGCTCTAAAGAGAAACTGGGTATTTTCACTGTGGACGGAACCCCCGCGTCACAGCCACAGCTGCGGTGACAGCATCCGGGTGTCAGTGGCTCCATCGCGTCCCGCCGCCGAGGGGTCGAGACCACCGGCCAGCAGGTCAGGGCGGCAGCAGCACCCAGGGACCCCAAAGCCATCAGGTCCCAGGAGGCACCGAAGGCAGCAGAGACCGCAACTCAGAGACAGCCGGCCCCACCCAGCCCAAAGGACAGAAGGACGGAGGACCCAGTTCTGAGAAGGGGCCACAGTCCCACAGGTACGCGTCCAGGACCCAGCAGTGAGGCCACCAGGCCACCGCCTGCGCCCTCAGGGGAAGCCCTAGGACATCATCCGACTGGCCCTGTGGCAACAGTCCAAGCCACAAGGTCGTGCCGCCACAAAGCCGCTCGGTGCAGGGCCTGCGTGGAGCTGGCTGCGCCCCTGGATGGCCTCACGCGGGCACCTGCCCACCTCGACCTCCAGGCGCTGCGCCTTGCCCGGCAACCGGGCTATGATGCTCGGAGAAGCAAGCACAGAGCACACGGCGCCCATCCCAGAGCGTCCCGGGCAGAAGGCACACAGCCCCACCGCCTGTGCACACGCATCCAGGAAGGAAACGCGGCCCCCGCGGCCCCAAAACACACAGCCAGGCCGCCCACCGAAGCCGTGCTCTCCAAGTGACGCTAGGAGGAAGGACGAAAATGTGGGGCGCTGAGAAAGGAGCGAGCTTGTCTCCGTCGACCTCCCTGGGGACTTAGAAGACCCACGCCCATCTATTACCCAGGAAATGTCACCCAACGCCTACGGACTCGCACGCACGACAGACCAGCCCACCAGCAGGAGACCGCCGGGCCCAGGGCTCCAGCCTGCGCACCCACAGCCCCTCCGCGCCCTCCCCAGCGGGCCCACCGGCTGCTGTGGCCCATGGAGCCCACCCGCCCTGCCCGAGACACCTGCAAGGACCTGCTGGGACACCAGGTTTGGGGTCTGTACAGAGAGGGACCCCGCGAGCCCCTCGCAAACGGCACGCGTCCATCAGGCACCTGAACTCCTAGCAAAAACCATGCACACAAGAGCCCTCGGCAACTACTTCAGAGAGAAGACGTTTTGTCAACACTGGAAGTTAGGTCTGCTCGCCGCAACATGCAAAACACAAGGTGGCCACGTGGAAAAGGCAGGCACCCTCCAGCGGGAGGCACCCAGGACTCTAGCCCCCATCTCTGCCTCCACAGGCGCGACACCCCGGGTGCACGAGAGCCTGGTGGGGAGGGTGTTCAAGGGGCCTCCCGGGAGGGCCGGTCAGCAGTGGCGAGGCAAAGCACCCCAGAAGCTTCCTGAGCCGCGAGCTCCACTGTGAACCCACCAGCCAGCGGGACACCCGGTGCTCCCCTGGGGTGCAGCTTCGGCCTGGCGCCTGCAAGTGGCTGAGCAAGCACAGTGGGCCAGCTCCCCACCCCCCCACGGGCCACACGGGTGGACGCCAGTGCTCTGCCTGCCCCTGCCCAGGCTGCTGCCTGGCTCCCCAGGTTGACCATCCGCAGCGTGACGTGGGACCAGCTTCAGAGGCTGCTGGGCACAGTGACTGCACTCAGCCTCAAGTGCTAGGGCCACCCGTTCTTTTTGTTTACATGTTTTTATTTGTCCTGTTGGCAATAAAATTGCATTTTGGGGGTGATTTTTCAACCTTTCCATAAAAACACAGTAAGCAGGATCCCAGGACCCTGCTGCTGTTGCCTAGGCCGGCTCCTCGAAGCGGTGGTGACGGGGAAGGCTGACACGGAGGGGCCGCCTCCAGGCCCCCGGGTGGGATTCCCGCTCCTGCCGACATTCCGCATGGTGACCAGAGACAGAGCTGCCCTCTGGGCACGGCAGGAAGTAAGGGAAGGAGAAGGGGAGAAGGGACACCAGCCAGAAACCCATGAAAGAAAGAGGCAACAAGCGAGGGGAGGCAGAGGCGTTCGCGCATCTTCCAGCTGTGCCCGCGCCCGACCCACAACCGCTGGTCCCTTCAGCCCAGTTCTGTGCCTGCTGAAGGCAGGATCGGAATCTCCATCCACGTCGCTGGAGGCGCCGCAGGCTCTAAGGCCGCCCTCGGCATCGTTCACACCTACCCACGGGGTCGGGGTGGGCGGAGGAGTCATCCCTGCCAGCGGCGGCCAGCTCGGCCAGCTCGGGGAGGGGCAGCAGGCGGCCGTCCAGCACCTGCGCCGATCCTCCGTGGGCTGGGGGGGGGGGGTTTGGAAGATGACTGAACGACGTTTGCAGCGTCCTCCACAAGAATTACGTGAACCCCAGGGATGCAGTGATCTTTCTGCGTTCCAAAGCCAGCGCTTAGCAGAGCTCCAATCCAAGTCGAGCAAGAGAAAAGAGTTAGGATCCAAAGACCGAACCACCCAGCATGTTAGTAGTTACACTGAGAACCTGGAAAACAGCGAAAAAGCCATTTAGTCTGACTGGGGGGCCAGACCGGCCTCCAACCTGAGCTTGAGGATGGACACGGCCCCCTCTCAGTCTGTCTTTCTCGGTCTCTCACTCTGTCTCTGGGTCTCTTTGTGGGTTTCTCTCTCTCTCCATCTCTCAGTCTCTGTGTCTATCTCTCTCACTCTGTCTCTGCCTCCCTGTCTATCTCTTGGGTCTCTCTCTGTTACCTTGTCTCTGTCTCTCACAATCAGTCTGTCTCTGTTTTTCTTTCAGTCTACATCTGTCTCTCTCTGTATCTCTGTCTCTCTCTGCATTTCTATCTCTGTCTCTGTCTCTCTGCATCTCTGTGTCTCTCACTATCTCTCTCTGTGTCTCTGTGTCTCTCACGCGCACGCAGCGGGCGTTGCAAGAGCAGAGGCCAGGAGCTGCTCGTGCCGGGAACAGTGAGCGTCGCGGAGGACGAAGCGAGAGGACAGAGCGCCTCGGGGCCCTGACCCCGGCCCGCCGCGACCCGCAGCTCGGAGCAGGGAGGCCCGCGGCCGAGCGTCTCCACGTGAACGGGTACGTGGGAGCCTTGGAGCGGGCGGTGTGACCCAGGAAAACCCCTACAAGGCAGAGCACGCAGATGAATCTTTGGGAAAAGCGAAGGCTGAGAATAGTTCGAGTCCTCAGAGGCGAGCCCGCCCTCGGGCGAGCGATCCAGGGCGTGCGGAGAGCGCCGGGAGCCAGGCTGAGGTGGAGCCAGAGGGGGCGCCGGGCCCCCTGCCTGGGTGCTGAGCAGGTCCCGGCGCTACCAGGACTCCCGGGCCGCCCCGGGCGGCGTCGGGGCTCGTCATGCATCCACCGTATCTACTGCCACTCTGGAACAAGAAAGCAAACACCCCGTCAGTGCCGCCCGGCTGCTCTCGGAAGCTCCTGCAGCCCTCGCACCAGCGCCGGACACCTGCATGGCCTGCCTGCACACGCGGGACGCGGGGCACGCTCCTCCCCACGAGGGCCACGGTGCGCAACAGGCCCCTGAAAGCACCATCACCGGGCTGGGGGCAGCCTCCCCGGCGGCGGGAACCCCGCCTAGATGGACGGCCACCAGGGCCCGCGGAGCACCCTCTGATGCGGCCTGGCCTGCGGAGCCCTGAGGGCGTCCAAGCGCCGACAGCCTGGGGCCGACAGCACAACGCGCTCCGGCTCACCTCCCCACGCGGGGACGGGACTCGGCGCACGCCCACGACACGCGCACAGCCTGTCCTGAGCCCGCGGAGACAGCTGCGAGGGTAGCCTCGGGAGACCTGCAAGCACTGCCACGAGCTCCATCGACGGCCTACGAAACGCGCGCGCAGCTTCCCGCAACTCGGAGACGAGAAAAGGCTCTAACCCACCCACACATCCGCAAACAGAACTGCTACGAGATCAACACGACGTATGAGAGCTTCCCACATCAAAATACGACTTGTCAGAAGTCATCCAGGCAGCCAGAGGGACGAAGGTGGGCCGCGGCGCAGGGCGCACGGGGTGGGGCAGCAGATGGGTTCCTCGGCCGGAGCACAGGTGCCCCGTGTGCCAGCTCGCACAGCCCTCGGCACAGACGCCAGCACAGACACCGCCCCAGGCCTCCGCCGGCTGCCAGCACAAGGGACACACCCCTTCAGTCGCACTGCCCAGGGGCGGCGTTGGAGGCACCACCACAGGCACACCCAGGGGGCGGAACCGTCGTGCCACCTAGCGGGCACTTGCCTCCTCAGCTGTCACCCAGAGGCCAACAGGCCACCTCCGGTAGCCGCAGGGGGCGAGCACCACGACACGTGAACGGGAGTCTCCAGCAAATGAACCGGGCACAAGGACAAAAGCACGGCGGTGCGCTCAGCCACTCAGGAAGTCACCCCACTACACATGGCCACAGCCCCACAGGATGGCGAGGGGACATCACAACGCCCTCTGATTACAGCCCAAAGTGGTGCCGCGGCCCCAGACAGACCCCTGTGTGTGTCCTGGGACGCACGGTGGGAGTGACACAACCCCACTGGGCCCCCCGCCGCCCCGTGATGGTGCCACCTCCACAGGCAGGCCGCCGCAGGCCCTGGACGGTCCATCGTGCACCACAGCGGTGGGGCACTGCCCGGTGGCTCCACCGACACCCCTGGAGGAGAGAACGCGGCGCTCCGTGGCATTTACCTGTGTCCAGGCGCTTTCCCGGGGACCCCTCCTCCACCTCAGAGTCGCCGCAGGTGCTCCGCGACCTTTTTCTTGGCTGCAGAAGAGTCTCCAACCTCGGAAGGACTACAGACAAAAAGGTTTTGGTCCCTAGCTGAGGAGAAGTTGGCTGGGTTTCAGTGTTCTTGGCAGACTTTGGGGGGCTTACACTTTTCGATTTGCAGAAGAGAACAGAAGTGCGTCTGTTTACATCGCTTGCTGGCTCCGCCACCGCGGAGGCCGCCGCCGCCGGCGCATCGCCACTACTGGCGAGGGTGGGCTCTGGAGGGTGTCCGATTACCAGTGCGCTCTGAGTGCAAGTGCTATGTGATTCATTATCAAATGTGACTCTTTTGAATAGTTTACTCTGCTCTGGGTTGAGTTCTACTGGTTTGAGGGTTGGTGGTTCTGAATTAGTCTCCGAGTTTGAAGGAAGAGGTAATGCATCTGATGGTTCAAGTTTAGGGGGAGATTTATCTCCTGAAAAAATTATAAATAAAGTGATTTTTGAAAACTGATAATTATAAAATCTATTATAAAACTTACTATAAATGTGAAGTCCACCAAAATACTAATTCATTTAAGGAAACAAAGCATCACACATACTGTCTGCAAGCAGTGAGGGGCCGCAGCGGGCCATCAGGCTACACTGTGTGCGCTGCCCTAACACCGAAGACGGGGTGGCCTGGTGCCCGGGCTCCAGGTGCGCAGGTGTATCACGTTACCCTGCCAACAGCTGTTGAGGATTCCCTCCACATACGCCAACACTAGCACATCATTCGACTTTAGGAGCATCTCTATAGTCGACACTTCACTTACCTTGAGTAAGAGACACGTCTCACATAACCCGGGGGCTTACGGGCACCCCACGTGCTCCTGACCTGGGCCACATGGTCAGCAAGCAGGGGACACGAGCATGTAAATCACTCCTCTGACCGGGATGTGCCCGCCTGAGGCGCGACCCTCACGGGACCAGGAAAACCTCCCTTCCAGGCTCCAGACCTGCTACCCTCCATGCCACGCTCTAAACGCCCATAAAGTAGGTTCTTTTTCCTAAATCTGACTTTAAAAATAAAAACAGTCTTTGGAAAACTACCTTTGCCTCTTAATTTAAAAAGCTTCTTAAAACCATTCACATCAAAACAAGAAGTCTGAAGAGCCACGAGCAGGGCTTTACCCCAGGGCCGGGGAGGATGCCCCCAGGCACCAAGCGGGCAGCCAGCGGCACAGCCCCCGGACAGGCCTCTGCTTGGGCTGTGACACGCGGGAGATAAAGCAGTTTACGTAATCCGAGAGGATACCCGTCCTCTCCACGCACACTTCTCGTTAAAGCTGCAAACTGCCCCAAAAGCAGGCAGTATTGTAACTCCGGTTGTTCTGAAAGCGGAAAGCTACAGCTTCTGGGCCCCCTCCCATCTCAGAACCACGTCCTGAGAATCCTCCCTAAGGAACCTGCCCGGGGGGCCCTGCTCGGACTCAGCAGGTCACAGCAGGACCCGAGCCCCTCTGTGCACCCCCCCAGCGCGGGTCCCCGGGCATCCGAGCTGCAGACACGGTGGCCGATGCCAGGCGGGGCTCTGCATCCTCGGGCCCCGAGTCACTCCCGGGCAGCACCTGCGGCCAGCGCAGAGGAATCACCGCGGGCCCTCCCCCAGCGAGCGCGCCCTGGCTCACCTCTGGCCTCTCTCTCGGGCCTCACGCCAGGCTCCCACCCTGACCCCGCACCAGCGGTCCTGCCCCCACCTCTGTCCTGGCCAGGTGGGCGTCACCAACACGGGGGTGGCCACGAGGGCCAGCAGGGCGCGAGGGAGCCCTCCGTCCCCACGCACCCGCCCGCGCCTCACCAGACACAAAGGCAAAGATGTGCCTGCAGGGGCCTCCTCTCCCTGCACCTGCCCTGAGCTGCGCTCGGCCCAGACAGCTCACAGGAGCACTGGGGAGGCGCGTGGGGCCCGGCCCGGGCTGCTCGGGTCAGCAGGCGTGAAGCACCGCCGCCAGCCAGGCACCACATGGGCTGCCGACCCTGGGCCTGGCGAGCCCCACGGCTGCACCTCTGCGCCCGGCTGCACCCTGGCTGGGCCAACCCCACACCACAAGCTAACGCACAAACACAAACACTCACTGCCGCTAACAACGACGGCATAGAGCCACACGTGAGCCGCACCTGAGCCATGCTCGACTCCCTTCTGGAATAAGCCCTGTTCACGTAAATACCAATGTCCCAAATTCCACTCCTTCCTTCATAAGAGCAAAGCGGTTCCCGCCAGGAGCCTGTTTCACACTAGCTGCTCTGGAAATTCTAAAGATGCACTTGTGGCTGCAGAGGAGCGGCTCGCCAACTATCGGACCAGACCCGTACACCCCAGAGCGCAGGAGCTCGGAGGCTCCGGCGTGGGGCCCTGGCCTCCCGTGACCCCGACCAAAGGCTGTCTCACCACCACCTGGCCTCAGGCTTCCTCGCCTCATCCTCAAGGGAGAGGGCGACAGATGCACGTGCTCCCCGAGAGCCCTCTTATAACCGTGACCAGTCCTCGCACGCTCCCACGTGCCATGTGGGGGAAGTAGGACCCGGCAAGCCGCAAGCCCGCTCCTGTGCAGACTCGGATACAAATCACAACAGGCCTGAGGGAGCCTGAGAGAGCCTAAGGGAGCCTTCGGGAAGAGAAAGGCACGATCTTGAAGCATGAGGACAGGGCCCAAAGCACGGCTGGAGTCCCAGCGAGGACATGAAAGCCCTGGGCTCGCAGTCCTCCCAAAGCCACCTGTCTTCGCTACCCTGCGCCTGTCAGGCACCCGGGACCACGCTCTGGGGAGAGGCGGAGACCGAAGCGCCCGCGCTGGAACACCTGCAGCGCCGACGCAGAGCTGAGGAGGAGCACGGGACCCCCCAGAGGAGGGCGCCTCAGCGGGCCCAGCCCCATCAGAACCCCCAAGGTGACAACACAGACGGGTGCCCAGGTGACAGGATCACCTCGCAGCCCCGCACCCTCATCTTTCAGAGTACTCTCGGTGCTTGTCCCGTGACCAGGATCACGAGTTCCCCTTTCTACATCAGCTCCCAGAGCGTCTGCTCCTGGCTGTCCCCTCCAGCCTTGCAGGAGGACACCCCACCCCACGTGGAAGTCCCGCTGCTGCCCGCGGCCTCCCCGAAGCCTGCCTTCTCCCCACCTGCACCGCCCACTGGCCGCCAGGGCGCTGTCCTCTCCACGAGGATTCCAGCCCGTCTTTGTCACATGTCCCTGCACTCTTCCTTCAAAACGACCCCAGCACCACAGGGCAGCACATGTGGGCTGGGGGGCGGGGGGGGGGGGCGCCCGCCTGCTGGAGGGATCTGAGCTGTGCAGCAAGACGGCTGGGACGACGGGGAAGACGCGGCGTCCAGACACGCCCCATCACGCCCCTCATGACCCAGAATGACCGGTTCACAAGCTTTGCCCACTCTCTTTTCAGGGCAAGTAACAGTGTTTTCCTACGAAGACAGATTAGCTCAGCCAGAGTGACAGCTCAGGCTGCAGGAGGGACCTGGATGGGACGAAGGTGGGCACCCTGCTCCAGGGCTAACGGCCGGGGCCACCAGCATCCAGGCCTACAGGAGAGCTGCTCTTCGGGACAGAACTGCCCCGGGGCGCCCGCGTGGCTCAGACAAGCGTCCGAATCTCGTTGGGCTCAGGTCATGACTGCAGGGTCCTGAGATGGAGCACCAGGCCGGGCTCCATGATATGGGCGTGAAACCTGCCTGAGGTTGTCTCCTGGCTCCTGGCTGCAAAAGACAGCCTCTCCTCTGCTCCGAGGACACACTGTAGCTCCTATCCCCCAAGAGGGAGCTTCTGGAGTCTGCATCCCACACCAGGGGGCCTAGACAGAGGCACCGTGAACTGAAACCAGGCAGGCAGAGGATGAGGGCAAGCTGCCTGCACAAGAGGTCACCTCCCAGGAGAAACAGAGGCTCGAGGGCTGCAGCTCATCCCCACCAACCGCCTCGTGCAACAAGGTTGGCAGGAAGTGAATCAGGAAGACTGCTCGGGTGTACAGGGCCCGTGGAGCGTCTACACCAGGACACCGCAGGGCCGCCCGCTGCTGCAGGTGCCCCCAGCACAGTCCAGACTGCAAGCCAAAGTGCCCGCGGCGTGGCCCTGGGGAGCCTGACTATACCTTCTTCTCTCCTATAAAACTAAAATGTGTAGACTCTCTGCTAAAAGTAAGAGATCAGAAGAGGGGGCAGCGTTTTCTATGAGGTTCCACATGCTCCAACAACGGGGCTGCTGTTCTCCCCTGACAGTCCCTGTCCCGAGCACAAAGCCCGCCACCTGCAGCCACCTGCAGCCACATGCAGCCACCTGAGGCCAGCACCAGCACGGCAGTTCCCTGGGGTTCCCACTGGGCAGGTGGGTTTCTCTTCGTTTACGTCCTACACACAGAGACATGGCCAATGACCAGCTCTCCTCCCAGACACATGTCCCAGGTAAGATCGGCAGCTCCCATCCTGTGCAGTGACGTGTCAGGAGGCCCATGAGGCAGCTCCAGGTCTGACCCCTGCTCCCTGGTGACAGCATGTGCGTCACCTTCCACCCTATCAGAGGAGTGTTCCAGCAACAGCGGCATCACGGCCCTTTCAACAGCAGATGTGACCAACAGAACCATCCCACTTGTCACAGAAGCCACCTCTACTCTTCACTCTAGACAACGTACAAGGTCTATGCTACCCTTTTTAAATAGTGTTTCATTAACTAGTTTAAAAAAAAAAATCCTTATTCTGCATCTTAAACCTTGTGCCTGTTTAAGCGGCGCCAACCGTACCAGGAAACAGAAGCCCGGTGGGGGCTCCCGGGGGTCAGTGAGGACAGACACTGAGCATGTGCTTACCTTCCTCCCCCGTCTCCTGCCCCAGCTGAGCACCTTCCTCTTCAAAGCTTCCAATACCTGATTCCGCAGGCGGGGGCTGGCTGTGCTGCTGGCTCAGTTTGTTTCGAAGGACAGCAATCTCCTTTTTCAGGAGCTTGGCCCGCTTGCTCCGAGACCCGCTGGACTTCATGGCACACGTGAGGTCCAGTTTGTCCAGCAGCTCTCTCAGCTGCTCCTCCAGGACCATGTGGGCCCTGTTGGCTGGGTTCAGCAACCTGTCCACTGAAGCCAAAGGATACTTCGTCAGTCATCAACCGTGGCGGTGCCCCCCGTGGTGCCCCCGAAACCACTTGACCGGCACGGGCCCTGCCCGCGGGAGCCCCAAATGCCCCTCCAACGCTCACGCCACACCCACGACTGGCTGCAGCCATAGGGACACGAGCTTTCACCCCTGGGCGTCCAGACGCTCCTAGAGGAAAGCTTCTAGGTCCACGGCTGGCCGGCCAGGCGCACGGGGACACAGCACACTGAGGCAGGGCTAGCGCCTCTCCTGGTGCGCGCCCAAACCAAGCCCTCCAGTGAAGACCAGAAGCTGGGGCAGAAGAAGGCCCAAGAGGACGACCCCACCCACGTCCCCCACCTGTGCAGACAGGGGCCGGGACCAACTCACGTCCGTGCTGGCCTCTAGACCCAGAACACCGCCTGGCTCTACAGCGACAGGCCACACAATGCACAGGTCGCTCTCAACTTCAGGCGTATTTATTACAAAAATCCCTAGCAACTTTAATTTCAGCAAAACAACAAGATAAAACACAAATTACCTGAAGTTAGTGAAAGGTGGCTAAGAAAAAAACCAGTCTTTGGAGCTAAAATAAAGCTAGGAGTGAGAGCGGAAGGTGGGAAGAGACAAAGACCACAACACAACTGCCAGCAGCAAGAGGCACCTTCCTCCAGAAACAAGCGTTTACTGAAAGCATCTGTGCTTCTTACTAAGTAACGAGACATTAGCATCGAGAAATAAATAAGAGCGTCCAAATCTAACAGCTTGGCTTGTATCCATACGGTCTCTGTCTACGGTAACAGCCTCAAAAACGTTCATATAACGAAAATGCTATTTGAGGCCTCAAAGAAAATGGCCTCACACCATTTCGCGTCTGTACCTTTAAGCAGACGAGGGACAGCCCTGTGTGCGCCGCCCACCCTGAGGCCACCCGAGGCAGCCCCTGGGCCTCCATGCACCCAAGCAGACCCGAGGGAGAGAGAGGAAGCAGCACCCAGCGCCGCGACACGCACCCCACCAGCTCCACCACCTCCCCGCACAAATGCGGGAAAAATAAATGAAGACTTCCCATCCTTGAGTTTATCCCTGGTGAGAACATGGGTGCAGGACTTTACTGGGAAACCCCACGGAGACCTACATGCCCCTCTCCTCCAAGACCCGACACTCCAGAGCCAGCCAGGCGCAGCGGCCAGGGCGAGGCACAGGGAAGGCAACCCGTCTCCAGGGCTGGGACAAGTGAACAGACCGCCGTGCCCCGTCTCAGAGGCACACGCCCACAAGGCGTCCTCGGAGTGGATCCAGGTCCACCCAGGGTGCAGCCCCCAACTCAACATTGTCGGGGTCTGTACCCCACCCCATGCAGGCTGTCCCCTACAGACAGAGCCGCTGGCCACTGTGTCCCTAATGGGCCCTTGAAACACACCTGTGTCCACAGAAACGTACGAGGGGCATCAAACACACATGGTGTGGCAAAGAAAAATTAAAAGCCAACTACACTCAGTAATTCTCGTGGAGACCACGTGCTACAAGCACAATACATTAGGAGCACTGAGTCAAAAATCCGCCTTTGAAGTCAATTCCTTCCCTTTCGTCATGAACTACTGGGAAACGTACGATCACGTATGCGGCTCGTGCTCTAGTCCCACTGGGCCATGCGGACGCGGTGTGCGGGCAAGCGCGTGCCCCAGCCTGTGCCCGTGCTCGGGGCTGGTGCTTACCGTCGTCCCAGGAGAAAGGCCGCCGGGGGGCCGCCGCAGGCCGCTCAGGCAGGTGCATCCCCGAGGCCTCCTCGAAGCCGATGCTGTCCGCCTGGCGCCTGGCCTGCCTCAGAACGACACCGCCCTGATCGCGCAGCCTCACGGCGGCTCTATAAAACACCGTGTCCTTGGCGTTGTACTTCATGCAGTTATCTACAATGAGATTAAAATCCTCCTCAAACTCAGTGAGGTGTCTATACCCTTGAGCTTCTAACCGTTTCCTCATTGTGGCAAAGTCCATGGGATGTTTAATGTGATCCAAATAATCTGGTACCTAATTTCGGGGAGGAAAAATAAGCATTTACAAACAAAGAAGGAGTCTTATCCAAGCTCTATAACCCCACACACCCGCTACTCTACACAGGACACACGCACACGCACAGCACCGGTGCCTCTCTCACAGCGTCAGTGCGGCGTGCAGACGCGCCCCACGGAAACCCCACATTCGGCCAGGGGCCCCTCCAACTCAAACTCCTCAAACTGAACACACAGCAACCGGTGCGCCTATCTGGGCAGAGAGCCGCCGTGCACGGACAGGATCTCTCTGAGGGGGGACTCCCACCTCTTGTTCCCACCACTTTACAGGGAAACCTATCGCTTTTATCACTTAAAAGGGAACGTGCTAAAATGAAATGCTAGGAGACCCCTAAGCGCACACCCCGCACCTAGTAGTGAACGGTTACTCCCTAGGCCGCCGGGGAGCCCCATGCCGAGCGGGTGAACACTCACCTCCTTCAGGCTCACCGGCTGCGCAAAGATCCGAGCCGGGTCCTTCTCCTGCAGCTGGTCCAGGACGGAGCGCAGCAGCACCGTGAGCGGGGTCAGCCGCAGCTCCAAGGCCATCTGCTCCACCTTCACCTGCCAAATGCGGCACTCGGTTGGAACGCTCACCGCGGCACTCGAAACACTCACCACGGCCCTCTGGGGACGGCGACCCCACCAAGCGCCCACTGCCCTGGCCCACGCCGACTCAGCTGCCCCGCCCCGCCCCCCCAAGGGCCGGCGACGCTGCCCCCGCAGTCACACCAAGCCTCCTCCAGACAGAGGTCAACGTCCCCCCTCGTCCTGCTGCTGCCCGAGAACGAGGGCAGGAGGCCCTGGGAGGAGGCAGGGCGAAGGCCTGCAGGCACAGCCGGCCCCAGGCACCCTGGGAGCCCACACGGGGCTGCAGACCGTGCAGGGGAGGCTTGAGGGGCGCCCAGCCTCACCTGCTCCCGCTTGAGCTTCTCTCGCTTGCGCAGGAGCTCGATGAGCAGACGCGCGCGCTCCAAGTCATGCCGCAGCCGCTGCCAATACTTCAGCTTCTCTTTGGCAGCTTGAATCTCCTCATCGTTTTCTCTCTGGGAAAATCAGTCACAAGTCAGCCAGAACCCCTCAGAGGAGACCCCAGGGCCCGGGAACTCGGGGCCGCCGCAGGAAGCCCTGTGCCCGCATGAGCCAGCCAGGACACCAAGCAGCAGGCCCGAGGGGACCCAGGGCCGACGTCGCGGGCCCGGACTCGCCCCACAGAGCACCCCGGGGTGCCCACACGCCCGGCACGCTCCAGACCCAGAAGCTGGGAGGACAGACGCCACGCACGAGCACAGAGCCAGCGGAGTCAAGGTGAGCGGGGCGGCTGTCGCAGGCCACGGCCTCCCACCCGCTGGACACGGGGAGGGACAGAGCGGCCCGGGGAGCAAACAGCAGCAGGAGCCCACTGCAGGGGAGCCGGTGCTGTCCGGCCCCAGCGGCCGTGAAGCCTCCTGGTTCGGGGTCACCGCTTGAGCACCTCCTCCTTCCCTGGCAAAATAAACATGCCCCCGAACCCAACACAGCCCGCGACCCACCCATTTCCACTCCAGGATTTTCAGAAATAAGTACACCATGCCCAGAGAGCAAAGAGCTGGAGGGCACCCCCGACCACGGGCAGGGGACAACCGCTGTGGCCACGATGGGGAAGCCAGGGAGTGGCAGGACGCAGCAGCCCAGGACGGCCCCACACGACAGCCAGAGAGACCTTCCCAGCTCAGAGTGGCACCTGAACCCCAGGAAATCCCGCCCCAAGGTTCTGTGCACTCCCGTCCACGCGTCCCGCCCCACCCTAGGCCCAGGCCATCTAGGCAGCACCTCAAAGGCCGCGCGTGCCGGGAGCCGAAGGCACCCATCCGCCCAACCACAGCTCCTGGGGCAGACCCAGGGCAGACGGCGGAGGAAGCAGCAGTCGGGGCACTCCTCCACCTGCCCCGGAACCCCAGCTCCGCTGAGACGCACCCACCTGTCCCCGGGCAGGCTTCCCACAGGTGCCTGGGGCCTCCTGACCACAGCGGCCTAGGACACCTTCTGCAACCACACGCACACGTGACCTGGACCCAGGCGGCGTCCGCATCGCAGGGGCTTTACCTCGACACCCCTGTGGCCTTGGGCAGGTCGCTCACCGTCAGATTCCATTCCATACTCATCAGACCCCTTCTCTCTGGACCACCGCCCCGCAGGCTTCCAGCCCACCCCATCACACAGAGCTTGAACAGCCCACACACCAGGCAGGGCCCCTCCCCGGGCACCCCCACTCCCTGTCTCAATGCTGAGCACCTAGCAGGGGACAACACGGCTCTCGCTCCAGTGGCTCTCGCTCCAGGGTCTGCGGGCAGAGTCGGTGATGAGGCTACAAGACCCTCCTCGCTATCAAGCAGATGGGAAGGCTGGGCCAGCACTCCGGTTCTGCGAGACACCAATCACACAACTCCTTTTAACGTTATTTAAAAGTCTCGGGCGTTAAGTAGGAGTTGACGGTGATATCAGCTGCATAGACGCGGCCAGGAAATACATTAAAAAGTAGTTTAGGGGATCCCTGGGTGGCGCAGCGGTTTGGCGCCTGCCTTCGGCCCAGGGCGCGATCCTGGAGACCCAGGATCGAATCCCACATCGGGCTCCCGGTGCATGGAGCCTGCTTCTCCCTCTATGTCTCTGCGCCTCTCTCTCTCTCTCTCTCTCTCTGTGACTATCATAAGTAAAAATAAAAAAAAATAAAAAAGTAGTTTAAAAAAACCGATTTCCCCAAAAGCATCTGAAAATCACCTCATCCGTTACTCTAAATAAACTCTCTGAAAACATCAAGCAAAAGGACGTTGGGCCAGGCAAACCCACAAGGCAGAAGCTGTGCTTGCCCTGCACTCGCTGCCCTGGCTGGAGGCTGCGCACGGCCGCGGGGTCGCTCTCCCCGCACACAACGCCTGCAGTATGGGACCCAACCCCAGGCACAGCCTCAGCACCTCCACCTACGCAGAAGGGCCTGAGCATCCAGACTCCACTGTCAGGTCAGCTTTATCTCCTACGTAAAAATCTACCCGAGAAGACTCCACGAAACAGAAGGAAAGCAAAGTGATTTCTGGTGCCGAGAAGCTATCAGGAAAGAGAATTGTAAAGACCAAGTTTATCACCTTCCCCCTGACAGATGGAGCCTGCTGGAAGGAGGGGACAGGGCAGGCCAGCCCCAAGAGGTGAGGACCGCAGCACATCCCCCGAGTCCCTGGGCACCACCAACCACTTAAGACCCCAAGAGGCAGTGGTCCCCTGCCCCTGGAGCAGGACGCTTGGAGGGGCCCAGCTCCTGTGAACCTCAGCCAGGATGTTGGCCAGAGGCTCCACCCCCAGCACAGCAGGGTGACCGCGTGGTCCTAAAGCCACCAGAGGGAAGCACCACAGTGAACGGGCGGACGTGCTGGCTCTGCCCCTTGCCTAACAAGACAGGAGCTTTGCCCTCAGCCACCCCCATCCCCAACCAGGGTCCGCGGACAGCGGAGGATGAGCTCTGCAGAAGGGCTGTGAAGGCCCCAGCAAGGTGCCCACAGGGACCCTGCGCTCGGGCCGGACCAGAAGAGCTCAGCTTAGGTCTTCCAACTCCTCGAAGACCACTGTGCACAGCAGCGTCCAGGACCGCCAACCCAAGGCACCTTGTCTGCCCGGACACGAGGGACCTCACCCCCGGGCCAGCTGGTCCCGTCTGTCTGTCTCCCCATCGTTGGGTCGGCCATGGAAGGAAGGAAGGGCTGCCCCCAACCTCTCCCACAGCCCACCCCAGACTGGGCTCCCAGAAACGCAGACAGATGAATCCAAGTAAACCTCACATCAAGTATGTCCAATTTTCAGACACACGTGAGCCTCACACTGAGCCTTGAATGTTCCACGTGGAACGTTGGTGTACTAGACCATGGGGTGGACTTCACAGGGTGAAGTGGGAAAGGCAGTGTAGACGCTCACGCTGGGAGGGTGGAGGACGCAGGGCGCCCGTGCGGGCCTCGTGGGGAGCTCCCGAGCACCACATCACCACGTCCCCCCGCAGGAACGCACCCTGCGGGTCAGCCCAAATGCTCTCCAGGACACCAGCACCTAAGCTGCACCAGCTCAAATCTACGCCGCTCCTTCGCCCAGGACACAACACCCCCACACCTCACTTTCCTGTCCCTACGCATTTATTTCGTAGGGAGCAACCCGGCTGGTCGCTCCCACCGGCCCACCTGTCCCAACGGGGAGGAGGGACGAACGGGCTACAGATCACCGAGGCAGACATCGCTAACAAAGACCCCCAGGTGACGTGGTCTAGCGCAGATTCTGAGGCCCCAGGTCCGTGTGTGCAGGATGCGCACGGCCCCCAGGATGGGCGGCATGCCCAAGACATAGGCATAGAGCCACCCCAGTCCGCGGCCCCAACACACTCGGGACATTCGCACAGCCCGGCCTCAAGTGTGCGTGCATCCAGCCACGAGCTCGACCGAGTGGGGCCCCTTCAGTAGACCCAAGTACCGCACGCAGCAGCCCCTGGCCCAGCAACCTTGGACGCCCATGGCATGGGACTCGGACGGCGCTGAAGGCACCAGGCCGGACGGGCTCCAAGCAGCTCCTTCCTTCCTTCCCCAGAGATGGAAAAGGCCAAGGGCACCCCACAGAGGCCCAGAATCTACAGTTTCACTATGGGTCTCAAAAAGGATAAAAAAGACATTAAAATCCACCAAAAAATGTCTTTAAGCACTTAAGTATGTTGATATTTTATGGGGTTTTTTTGTCACCACGGAATAAAAAAAATCCAAGAAGGGTTCCTTAGGAATGGCAGCAGCATCCAGGCCAGGGCAATGGGGGCAGGGTCACACCTGGCCCGGGCCTGCAGGTGGGACCAGGGAAGGCCGCCAGAGACGGGAGCTGCTGTCCTGGCATCTGGGGTGACTGGGTGTCCATTCGCTCCACGACCACACACACAGCTGGGCCGCTCTGCCCACCTGGCCCAGTGGAGCCGCCTCCAGGCTGCCACGGCCCCGCCTGCAGAGCCCCACGGACCAGGAACCTGGTGGACCCAGGAGCATGGCACCCAGCCCTGTCTGCTCGTGTCCCCTCTGACACACTCAGCCACCTGGTGGCTCAGGATCAGCAGCAGGGCGGCCGTGTGGCCATCCGGCATAAACTCATCGGAAGGACAGCTTCCGCCGTGCGCCCCACGGGGCAGGGAGAGGGCAGCCAGCAGCTCTACTCTGCGCCAGGTCCCCCCCAGCCTCCCAGCCTGAGGCCTCATGGACAAGCTCTCCCTACAAAGCTGCCCACTCCCCACAGCATAAAGTGAGCTAATCAAAAATTTTGGGCAAAGTGCCGAAGAACCATTTTTGTCCTCTATTTTTGTGGCATCGCAGAGAGCCAATTTCTTACTTTCTAAATCCATTCTTCCAGAACTGCTTTCCACGCTCAGATGGTTCTACAAACCCAAATTTACCAAAACACAAGAGCTTGTTTGGTTTTGTTCTTTTAAAAAAGCAAATCCCGTTTCCGCTCACTCATGCAGGCTCCTGCCTCCCACCCTCCCACTCTCCCTCCCTCCCTCCCTCCCCACCTCAGCCCTAGAAACAAACCACACCTCCCACGTTTCCAAAACCAGAACTCCCAGCCCAGCACAGGGACCACAGCCTAGGGGGGGCCTCTCCTGCTGCAGGCTCACCCCGGGCATCACCCACATGTGCAGAAACGCCAGGTGGCAGGGACAGAGGAGAGGCGCCCAGACGGCCCAGGGCTTCAACCTTCAACAGCCCTGGGGCATCCAGAGGCCAGCATGGCCTGGCGCATCGTGTGGGGAGAGCAGGAGGGAGAGCGGGAGGGAGAGGGCCACATACCTGCTGCGTGCTCCGCTGGGACTGCAGGCTAGACTGGAGTCTGCGCAGCAGGGGGGCGCCGTTCCTCGACAGCCGTTTGAGCAGCCAGTAGCTGTGCGCTCTCTCCACAAACTGCTTCTTCCGCTGGATGGCCACCTGGTTCGCAATCCTATTTAATCTAAAACACGGAAAGACTCAGAGTTTAGCTTTGAAGGAGCACAGAACACGTTTTTACCGTGGAAACTCAGAACGACAGGGTGGCTCTCCACAAACCACCGCCCATACTCAGCGTCCGCTCTCAGCCACGCACACGAACTGCTGCCTCCTGCGGCCCCGGGCCTGACCACAGGGTCCCCCCGCTGGCCCTGCACCCGAGATGGACGCGTCAAGGGAAGTCCGCCGAGCTGTGCTCTCGCCTCCTGACTCAGGATGCCCTGCTGCCCCTGGGCCCCCTCAAGGACTGGAGGGGGAGGATTGCAAGACACCAGAGTGACAGTGGGGAGCGGCCGTGGGCGACAGCTTCGGGGATGCTAAAATGCATGCGGTTTGTGAAAACACGCGTATGGAGGGGAATTATCATTTAAAAACCCCCAAAAGGCTCGCGGGAGGGCCTCCACATCACCGCTGAGATAGAGCCATGATTCATCAACGTGCTTCACAAGGACAGAGAGACCGTTCGCTCGGTCATCAACTAAGAACTGAATGAAAACACAGATGAGCCAAGATGCTCCTCACTACACACCTAACGCCAAAACGTCGGGACGAAACCAAGGAACCTAAAACCAAATTTTGAAGAAGGTAAATCCTAAATTTTACTAAACCATCAATGAACCAGAGGGCCAGAACGCCCCCTCCCCCGCATGCCCTCCCTGCAATGGTCCTTCTCCTAAAGCTCCAGTCGTTTCAAGACGCTTCCAAATCCTGCTGCTGTGGGCCTCCGTGCTGACTTCTGATGGGCACCTCCCACATGCTGCCCGGCCCCTGGGCTCACCCAGACCCAAGTGCGCAGAGCCAGCACAGCCTCTCGCAGCCAGGCCCAGCTCAGGCGTCTGCCCTGCAAAGGGACCCAATACTGAGGAACCGACACGGGGCAGCTCCACGCGGACCAGGCGGGGGGACTCTGCCAGAGCAGCCCCAGCAGACCCTAGAGAAGACGCCACAAGCTTCTGCAGGCAGGTGCAGAACCCACGCTCAAGTGCGTCCACTGCCTTGCCCGTGAGCACGGGGCCGCGCGTCTACACACCCCAGGACCCTGGGTCACAGCCTCATTGGGAGGTGGGGGGAGGACACCTGTCACAGCACCCAGGAGCACCTGCAACACCGCTGAGGGCGCCAGCAGGAGGTGCTGGGGAACAGCTGGACCCACTCTCAGGCCCGCTCGCAGGGGTCCTTGTCCGCAGCGGGGGCTGTGCTGGTCCTGCGCGCTGCTGGCCCACGTGCTTATGGTGCGATTCCTGACTGAGGCGTGACTCAGATGCCGTACGGTGCATAAACCTGAACGCGCGCGGTGTGCAGATCCCCACCTCTGCACACACGTGCTCTTACACAAGTACACACTCAGCCACTTCGACAGTGAAATGAGGCAACATAAATAAAAGTATTTCTTAACGATGTGAAGGTTTAAGGAAACGCTGTCTGACAATGGGCTTATAAATAAAGATTTTGAACCTCATGAAACAAGCCACCATCTCCTCCGAGACAGGATCTCTGAACCATGAACAGCTTGCAGACCTGAGCAGCAAGGCGTTGATGAAAGTGCATTTCAAGGTGTCCTGGGGTATTCACTGAAAGCCTGCATTCTGAGCTGATGGGTGGGCACAGAGCACCCAGGCACCCACCACGCGCCTCCTAGGATGCACAGCACCTCCTGGGAAGCAGCAGGGCTGGCACTGAGTGCACCCACATCAACCCTGCACCCACCCAGACCCCGGCCCCACAACCAACAGCAGGTGAGGGCAGAGGAAAGCTAGCACACGGGCCAGCCAAGGGACGGGGGCCCAGGGGACTCGCAGCAGGATGCGGATCCGGGTCTCTCAACATTCAACTCCAAAGGGAGAGAGTCCAAAAGGGACCATTGTAAGAGGGGACACAGGACTAGTGTGACTGTAAAGGCACGGCACCCCGCGGTGTTTAGAAAGTGGGTAATAAGGTGAGCCCCGCGCAGGTGAGGACAGAGGCAGGCCCAGGGGCAGAAGCGCTGGCCAGGTCCCGTCTCTCGAGTACAGAGCCTAACAGGGGTGTTCACCCCACTGCCATGCGTTTAAGAGTCTTTCTACTTTTGCATTTTAAGAATTTTTTAAAGATTCATTTGGGGGGGGGGACAGAGGGGGAGAGGGAGAGAGAACACACGCGTGCAGATAGGGAGGGGCAGAGCGAGAAACACTCCACTGAGCAGGGAGAGGCCCCCGGGGGCCTCAATCCCACGACCCTGAAATCATGACCTGAGCCGAAATCAAGAGTTAGATGCTCAACTGTGCCACCCAAATGCCCTTTTAAATATTTTTTTTTAAATACAGGATTTGGCATGGGTATACAAAAAGGTTAAAAGGGGGATCCCTGGGTGGCGCAGCGGTTTGGCGCCTGCCTTTGGCCCAGGGCGCGATCCTGGAGACCCGGGATCGAATCCCACGTCGGGCTCCCGGTGCATGGAGCCTGCTTCTCCCTCTGCCTGTGTCTCTGCCTCTCTCTCTCTCTCTGTGACTGTCATAAGTAAATAAAAAAAAAAAAAATTTAAAAAAAAAAAAAAAAAAAAAAGACTATGTTAAAAAAAAAGGTTAAAAGTTTGATTTTCTCAGGTCTTTCTGAATATGTCTCACACACAAGGTGCCTTCAGGTGAAATATAACCTGGCTTCTGAAGAAACTGAGGGAGGACCCAACAGAAGATCAGTCAATAAAACATCAGCTTGCGATTCTGGCATATAACCTAAACAAAGTTCTTTAAACTGAGTACCTTGCTCCAATAAAACTGCTTTTACACAACCTATTTACGTATGGGATGAGGATGCAGAGTGGCATCCACAGGGGCTGGGGCAGCACCAGGAAAGCAGTACATCCATCTCCGACGCCGCCACATTCACGAAGGCCCATTTCCTGGAGGGACGCGCCCAGCACACACCCCTCGCAGGGAAGGGGCTTCGTGCCACCCGAGCATGGTGGCCTCAGTGGCCCCACCAGATCATGGAGACACAACAGGGGAGGCCCAGCGACTGGCAGAACGGCGGCCGGCCCCAGGACGCGGGGGAAGACGCGGAGGCACACTGCCCGACTCCACTGAATTCACTTTTGGGAATGATGAGCCTCCTCCGAATATTCCAGAAACGACACCTTTCAGCTATTTGATCTCAGGTGAAGAATGCTGGACTTGAACTCAAAACTTTAATGCAGGAGGCGCCACACTGCTTTTCAAAATTATTTTGGCAGGTTTTGTCCAAAATACCATAGAAAGGAGAAAGGCTGACGGGTAACACGTGAAGACTCCCGAGGGAGGTCAGGACGCCGGCCACGGGACACCGGCCACGGACCGCCACCTCTGTGCTGCGCCACGGCAGGCAGGCCGGCGGGCCCAACACCCACAATCACACAAGTTTCACATCAGCTCGCTGTCCCCCTCCCAACAACGTGGTCAAGGACACCTCGAGGAAGCTGGGCAGAGACTCAAGCAAAAGCTAAGGAAGTGGAAATGGGAAGACACGAGCAAGTGTTGACAGAGGAGCCCTCCCCCCACCCCAGGCTCTGCAAGAGCCCGTGAGCCAGCTCTGGAGGGCCCTGCCTGAGAAAGCAGGGGACAGACACACCAGGGCGGAGGAACAAATGAACCAGAATCCGTTAAAAAGGAGAATCACAAAAGCAGAGACAGGAAGCCAACCCAGAGAAAAACACAAGTTCCCAAAACTCATTTGTGAAGCACAAATGAAACCTCAATACGTTCACAGCAAGGGTTTTAGGAAGAGAATCCATAGTCTTAAAATTTTCCTCCCACCCCCAAAAGGAAAGGAAAAAGACAGTTTTTCGGAAGAGGTCAGCCTGGAAGACCAGGCGACGTCCTGCCACCAGCAGGGACAGCAGGTGTCCCACCCGAGGAGGCAGGGGCGGCAGCCACACAAGGGAAACGCCAAACTCACTTGCAAACATACCTGACAAACCGAGTCCTTCTGGGTGTAGAGCGACTGCACCCGCCCTGAGGAGCAAGGGGGTCTGTCCCAGGGAGGCAAAGGGGGGCCGGGGTGACAAGGTCCAGAGAGAGCCCACGGACAACAGGAAAGAGGGCAGGATGCAGTTGTCTCTCCAGAGACGTGGAAAAGCCACTGGTCAACCACGACCTCAACTCACCCCAAGCGGGGCCGGAGAGGCCCCATCCTGTCCCTGCTCCCCGGAGAAGGGCCAACGGGGTGACGGGCAAAGCTCAGGACGGGATGTGCACAGCGTTCCTGGGGGAGGAGAGCGCAGGACGTCACTGAGCCACACAAAGATGTCAGTAAGGGGACACGCTCTCGGCTACGCGGGGTTCGCAAAGGACCCGTAGTGAGTATACAGGTGGCCTCCAAACCCATCTGCAGGCGCCAAGGGATTTCCAAATTCCCAAGGAGGGCTGTCAGAAAACCTGACAAGGGACTCCACACTGGTGAGCGTGTGGGAGGCGGGGCCCCACGTGGAGGGGAGCATGGCCTCCCCCCCGGGGATGGGCAGGGGCTGATCGGTGCTCGCGGACCCCAGGGAGAGCAGACTGCCCGTAGGGGACGAGAGAAAACACAGCCACACTGAAACCCACATTGTGCTCATCCTCGTGAGAAACTCGTCCCCAAGGGACTGAAGCCACGGGCCGAGAGACAGGGTCACCAAGTGACCAAGGCCGGCACGCGCACTGCGACACTTCGGGGAAGGGTGGCCGGCCCCAGGGACGGACCCTCTGCACGCAGGCCGACACGGCCCGCGAACCCAGAGACAGGACGGCGCTGAGGCTGGGGAGACGGCTGGCCACAGACTGGGAGGACCACCTTCTAGAACATCCTGGGGCCTTCGGGATGTGAAGGCCCACGGGGCTAGGACAGGCACCAATCACAAACAAGGCCACCTCGCAGGGAGCCGGTGCCAGAGGCCTGGCCTGCAGCGCCCCAGCGCCGGTGACAGTCGGCCACTCCACCCGCAGAGGTGACCGATGATGACGACGCATGGCAGCAGTCGAAGAAAAACCCTGGGCCTCTACAGATGAAGAAAAGCTAACTACGTACGTGCTCCGTGTCTTAGGAGCTGTGGCAGGACGTGAGCCGCGCCAGCAGGGCACGAGGCGGCCTGGCCGAGGCTATGCGACACCATGCAGCGGAGTCCAGGCTGCCCATGGGGACACGGCCACCGCGAGAAGCGGCTCATGGGGGGACGGGGGCGGGGGATGGGGGAGCACCGGAAGGCCGGGGTCACCAGGCCGGAGGGTGCGGGCTGCTGCAGGAAACACGGGGCAGCGGCAGGATGGCTGCGGACGGGCCCCAGGGAACACATGCCACCCAGGACAGGACGGTGACACCAGAACATCAGGGGATTCCTACGGGCTCCCCACAGGGACGCGCTGCCGCACAAAAGGAGAACGAGGGAAGGAAGGGGCACAGGCAACCAGCTGCAGGGACTGCTGGGGGGTGGCCCAAGGGCCCAAACCTCAAGACTGTCAGTCATACACACGAGCAGAGCCGAGACGTGGAGGAGAGGACGCACCCCTGCCCAAGGCTACACCCGGAGGCACCTCTGCGATGCCAGCCAGCCGCCCACCTCCAGACCCACGGCAACACCAGGAGAGGCCACACATGACAGCACTGTCTTCAAGGTCTTCAAGGTCGATGCGTAAACCAGCACAGACCAGCAGAGACCAGTCGCCCGGTGCATTAACACCAGGGTGTGGACCTAACTGGAGGGCCCCACCCCAACTCACCAGGTAGCTGCTCTGAGGGTGAGCCAATGGGGCCCTGGGAGTGCTCCTGTAATGCTGCTTTTCTTTAAAAAATCCTACTATTTGGTAAGCACCTAGGTTTGCCTCTAGTTTTCCATTCTGAAACTTTTTATATAAATACCATGGAAAACGGAAAAATATACAACTAAAAAGTTATTTTCTGTACACACGTGCGTAATCACTGAACGACATGCTCATGGTGTCCAACGTCATGCTGACACTGGGGGTTTAGGTCCCACCTCCCAAGTGTCCTGAGTCTTTGTAATGAGCACAACCGGCACAAGCACAACCCGCACCACTCGCTTTGGGAACGCTCAGAGGCCAGACGCAGGCCAGGGTGGCAGGAGCGAAATCCAAGTGATGGAGACGGGACAGATAAGAACGGGCACACCACGTCACCCCATAGGCAGGACCCTCGCGGGCAGGAGCGCCCCGCCCCAGCCCGCCACCCTCCCCAGGAGCAGGGCGGCCGGACCAGCCACACCCAGGCTCAGGACCCTAAGAGTAGCAGCTGGCACGCCCAGGCCCCCGGCACCTGCCCTGCAGCCTACAGGGTGGTCGACAGCGAGTCGCCTGCCGAGGCTTGGGGCCCAAGGGTGGGGCTGTGGCCCGGACATCAAGGTGTCCCCACACACCGACCCCACATGCCACTGCCCTCTACTCTAAAGTGAAGTAACAGCATCCTCCTAATTTACAGAAAGGAAAACCAAACATGGGCCTCTCGACCTTCGGTACGCGGTTTGGCCACATCTCCTTGCTTGGAAACACTTGGGCCCAAAGCCGGGGTCTTCTCTTCCATCAGGCCTGCTCAGTGGAGACCTGAAGGCCCACGGTCCCGGCTGGAGACGCCCTGTCCTGCGAAGGGCCGCAGCCCCCGCCCAGCCCCCATGCAGCCTCCCGCCAGCGCTCTGCCAGAGAGAGGCTCCTAACCACATGGCGCTGCTCACACAGAGGCAAGTACGCTCCTTCGGGCTTCTCAATTTGTTAGGCCACGTTTTTTTTTTTTTTCCTTTCATTTCTCTCAATTACAGGAAAGCTCAAATTTTTAGGGGTCAACAAAAGCTCTTTCTATTATTATTATTTTTTTTTTAATTTATGATAGGCACACAGTGAGAGAGGCAGAGACACAGGCAGAGGGAGAAGCAGGCTCCATGCACTGGGAGCCCGACGTGGGACTCGATCCCAGGTCTCCAGGATAGCGCCCTGGGCCAAAGGCAGGCGCCAAACCGCTGCGCCACCCAGGGATCCCTCAACAGAAGCTCTTGATGCAAATCTCGTACCTTCTGCCCCACAGGTAGAAACGCAAGTGAAACTAACATTGAAAAAGTCTAGCTGACTGACGGCAAAGAGACCCCTTGGCATTGGCAGCGCTTCCTTCTGGGTACGAGGGGTGAGCACTCTTACTAGCTTCTGAACTTACTGACTCTAGAGTGACTGCACACGCTCTAGAAAATGTCACTTTGGGAAAAGTCATACTTCTAATTCTTTTATTTTTTAAAGACGTAATACTTTACAGAAAAGCTGTGCACGAGGTAGGAGGGGAAGAGGGAAAGCAGCAGACTCCGTGTGAGCAGAGCCCCCGAGCCGGGGCTCGATCCCAGGACCCTGAGATCACACCCTGAGCCGAAGGCAGACGGATTACCTGCGCAGCCCCGGGCCCCCCCGCTTCTAATTCTTAAGAGATGGTAGTACCGGCTCTGGAAGACAGCTCAGAACGTCTTACAACCGGACTGGTGAGCTCGACACGACCCAGGACCCGCAGACACCAAACCTGGCTGTTGAGTCGCAGCGCGCTGAGGCAGGAATCCCTCGCTTAAACCCGTGGGGAGCCAGCACCAGGAGCCACCGCCCGATACGCTACAAGGACGTCCACTGCCCAGCGACCAGTGTACCCCACAGCCTGTCACACAGCGGTTTGTGAGACGAACAGGTCGTGCATCCGGCAGCAGGTGGTGGCGAGCCGCCCTCAGGAGCACGCGCCCGCGCCCACCCCCTCCTACAGCCATCTGACAGCCCCACGCCCCACGCCAAGTGCACGCCGTCCCCAAGGCTCAGCAAGTGTCTGAGGGAGCGCGCCCCACGCCAAGTGCACGCTGTCCCCAAGGCTCAGCAAGTGTCTGAGGGAGCAAGTGGTCTGCTCTCCCACACGCAGGCTCTGACATCACCAGGTCACTCACCTCACGTTCCCAACAAAATACAAAGAGCAAGTCAGTCACAAGAGTGGGAGGCAGAGACGAGACAAGGTCAGGAACAAGAGCAGACACAGCTGGGGTGCAGGGATCAGGGCCAGGCAGGGCCGGACCCCACCCCAGCCCCGCGGGCCGCCCCCCATCACAGGACACCCACTAGCCCTGCTGCAGACCCCCCGACCCCTTGGAGGCCACCCCGACTGCTGCGGTCTCCCCCGTCCCCAACCATGGGAGACGCCCGCCACACCCCACACACGGCTCCAAGCTGGAGGGCCCTACACGGACAGCCCTACGTGACGTTCGTGCCACAAAGGGTCGGGAAACCCAGAGAGGCCGTCACTGACAGGAAGGAGACCGGGCCTCCCTCCAGAAGCTCCCGTCAGCCCCACTGATCTCCACCATCTCTCACCTTCCTCTTCACAAGAAATCATTTTTAAAATACCACAAGGTTCCCAAAGCCGATGGGAGAGCAGAGCGAGGAGGAACGGCAGCTACTCGCGTCCACACCTGCGGCGCTAGGGCCTGGGACCCGAACCCTGCAGTCGGGCAGCTAAGGGGAGAGGGACCGTCAGCCACGGAACCATGCCTCCGGGCTCCCCCATCCCTCGCTGGCGCACACGTACCTCTGAGGGGGGATGTAGGGCGCACACACAGGCGGCAGGGCCGCGCAGGGCTCACTCAGGGTCTTCTTGGCCTTTTTTGCTTTCTTCCTGACCTTGGACGTGGACCTCACCGCTTTGACGGAGCTGTCCTTTCGACAGACGCCGTTCTTCATTTCGACCTCCCCGTATATGTTCAGGGGCCTCCGCGTACAGCCCGGGGGCGTGTGGACGTCACAGTAAGCGGTCTTCCTGACGGAGAAGGTGGTAGCACCTCCGGTGAGCTCCTTCACGGGCTCCATCTTCATGTAGAGGCCAGCCTTCTGGGCGCAGGTCACGTGGAAGGCGGTGTAGCAGTTGGCCTTGTGGCACTGGATGCAGGCCCCCACGCCCTTCTGCTTACAGAGGTAGCATGTCAGTTTCCACCGGGCCGGGGGGATGTTCCTCACACCGTCGATGGGCTCGATGAACACCGTGTTGGCAAAGCCCACCTCCGGGATCCACAGGGCGCACACCACGTGGCCCCAGCGGTCGTCGTCTGTCTTTTTGAAGGCACCTCCCTTGTTGGGGCAGAGCACACAGTCGGCAGGCCGCGCCCGGGACTGCAGGCAGTGTCGGCACAACCACTGGCCCTCGGGGATGTAGGGCACCCCATAGCACTCCTGGTGCACGGCCAGGTTGCACATGTCGCAGAACAGGATCACGTTGCTGTTCTGGCACTCGCCGTCCATGCAGATGCAGCACACGGCGTCCTCGTCGATCAGGGACTGCTGCTCTCCCTGCTTCTGGTTCTCGCAGTAGGACTCCTTCTCAAAGCGGTCCATCAAGAACTCAAACACGCTCTGGGACACGGCCGAGACGCAGTCGCCCTTCCGCTTCTCGTTGACAATCTCCAGCCAGGCGTAGTCCTCCTCGTCCATGTCGTACTCCACCTCGTTGTCCAACTCCTCAGCTGACTTCTCGATGAACTTATAGTACACGGGGGGCCGCCTGGGGGCGGAGGGCGGGCTGTACTCCACGATCCGCACCTTGGGCTCGGGAAGCGCGCTGGCCGACGCCAGCGGGCCGTGGGCACTGGGGAGGGCTTCATGTTTCTTTTTGACTCTGTTGTTTTTGTGGCGCTTAGTTCGTAAGCACACTGGCGGCCTCTCGCTGTTCTCCTTATTGCTGTTGCACTCGCTCAGTTCTTGAGCGGTGAGGTCATCTTCTAATATGATCTCCAGGGGATCAAAAATGCTGATCCTATGCAGGCGCCCCTCGATCTCGATCTCCACCATCCTCTGGGCTTGGGCGTAGGTCAGGGTCTCTCGCGTGGGGGAGTGCTTAGTACTGCACGGGGAGGAAGGGTGCCTCGCTGCAGCGCCGCGATGACATCGTCCTTTCCTCCTCATTTGGTACTGACTCCCTGAAACAGAGGCACACGGAAGGTTAACTCCCTGCAAAGGACCGACATGGGAAACCCACCAAAGACACAAACCGACTCGAACTAAATCAAAACGAAACTCCCAGCTCGGGGCTCTGAGGCTTCCGAAACCACCCATGGCGGGACTCATTCTCATGTTCCAGGGACCGCCTGGACCAAAGGACACAAGTAGCCAGGAGTGGCCTTTATAGGCACAAGCCTCTCTGGGCCGCTCTGTGGTTCCCCTGGCTCACCGGTCACCTTGGACCAAGCTAACAGGTCGCCCAGGTGACCGCAACCACCCTCCTGAGTGGCGGTCCCCACCCGAGCCCAAAGTCCGCACACAGGGCTGGACCCCAGCAGGCTCAGAGGTCTTGAGAGCAAGGCGAGCATGCTAGCTGGCTGCCCGCTCCTGACCCGCACTCTCCTTCACCAGCCCTCCACCGCCCCGCTGGGCCCAGGAGCACCCCTGCAGCCCCGGCGTCATAACCCCGCTGGGTGTCGGGAGCCCTGGCAGTCTGGCCACAGCAGTCCATCCCCTGGAGCACGGCCTCTGCACCGTGTCGAAGCACAGGGCCTCTAGGCCATGCCAGGACCACAGAGGTGAGCCCCATGGCGGCCCGGGTGGCCGTCTACATCCCCAGGAAGCCCAAGGCAGCTTCCAGAGGGTCTCAGCAGTGGCCGCCACAGGAACCCCACAGCCCAGGCCACCTGCCCCTTCCCCCTGGCGGCGCTTCTCATCTGCCATCGGGAGTTTGGTGCTGGGCCGTGCCCTCCTCCTCGTCAAGGGCACCCAGACAAAACGTGCAGTGTGCCACGGATGCATCTCTGCTCCCCCTCCACACAGAGGGCCACCAAGGACCACATGCTGCCAACAGAGGCCCCGTCCCGGGGCTGCCGGCAGGGGCTCAGGTGCCCGATGTCCTGGCTGCAGACGTCTCTGAGAATTTGCTCCTCAGACCTCCAGCAGCTCGCTCAGGAACACAGCCTATTTTCAGTGTCCCTCCTGTGACAACTCCTGACTTTGGACTGAGCAACGTGCCATGCTGGGAGCCCGCAGTGAAGACCCGATTCCTCCCTCCAAACCACTAGGCTGTACTGAGAGGAAGCAAGATGCATGTTCCAGTTGGAGCCCCAGGCCCGCTGCTTCGTGGCCGGCCAGGACTCGGGAAACTGGCACGGGGGTGCAGCCTCACAGCCACCCGGCGGGTCTCAGGGAAAAGCCCTGAGAGGGTGCCTGGGGAGTCCTGGGAGGCAACCCCAGCACACCCTAGGTGCACATAACACAGAGCCTTCAGGTTTTCGTTTTCCTTTTCTCAAACAGAAATCCCTGTCTCATATTGAAATTTTACAGGAATCCTCTGTAAACACAAGCACGACAAACACCGTGGCCTGTTGAGACCCAACTCACTGGCCTGTCGGGGTGTCCAGGCGCCCGCTCAGCCCTGGACAGCCTGGCAACAGGCAGCAAAGGGGCACAGTCCCTGGCCATGACCTGGCCAGCCCTGGGGCACAGTCCCTTGTGAAGGGAGCTGGGTGTCCCCCAGGCCGGGTGACAGCCCCGAGGGGGTCCGCACCGCAGCCTACGAGGGGAGGACCCTGAAGCACCCAGGGACCACCCGACGTGTCATTACTGAGACCAGGCCGAAGCCGCCGCCGGTTACTCACCAGGTGCAGAGCAAACCTGTAATTGTGTCCTCCAGCCCCAGCACCCAGCGCTCTAACTACGAGCAGCCTTCGGGACCCACCACCTCCCTGGGGCTCCCAGGGGCTCCTGAACCACTTTCTACAAGAAATTCATCAAACGCTTAACGGCCCGGCACCTCTAGAACCTGAGAACAGAACCGCGGCGGGGACCGGCCGCTGCCCCGCGCCTCGGCCTGTCTACAGCCGCGGACGCTGCGAGCCCCTGGGCCGCGTCCACACCGGGAGGTGGTCGGCGGGAAGCCCTGCTCGCGCCTTTACAGCGGTTCGTGCGCTGCGGGGCGTGGGACGGGGCACGGGACGGGGCACAGCAGGTCTCCCCGCGAGGACGGTCGGCGGGACAAGGGCGGTCCGCTCCCGCGGGGCACTGAATGCCGCCCCCAGCGTGCGGGCGCCAGGCAGGGGTGAAGTCTGCGGGCGAGGGAAGCGCAGCCGATGGGCGTGGCGCCTTCCTGGGCCTGCGGACTCGGTCGGGCCGCGGCGCCCTGCAGCCCCGAGGCGGCGGGGAGGGGGAGGCGGGGGGGCCGAGGGGGCGGGGGGGCGGGGGCCGAGCACCGCGGGCCGCCCACCTGCCGCCGCGGGGACGCCGGGCGCGGGCAGCTTCCCGGGCGGCCAAGCGGACGCGCGGCCTGTTACATAACGACCCGCTCGGCTCCGCGGCCGCCGGCTCCGCGGCCTCCCCGGGGCCCCCGTCCCCGCCCCCGCCCCCCGCCCCCGCCCCGATCCCCGGGTCCCCGCCCGGCCCCGGCCCCCCCCCGCCGCCCCGGGCCGCCCGCCCGCCCGCCCGCCCCGCCGCCCGCGGACAATGCGCCTCCCGCCGCGGCCGCCAACATGGCGCCGGCCCCCCCTCGGCCCCCGCCCGGCCCGGCCCGCCGCCCCCCCCGCCCACTCACCGTCGGGGCCGCGGCGCGGGAGCCCGGGGGGCGCGGAGGCCGGCGCGGCCCAGGCGGCGCTAATGGCGCCCGCGGCTCCCCCGCCAACGGCCGCGCAGGCCCGGGCCGCTCTCCGGGCGCGGGGTGCGGGGGCGGCCGCCGGGGCGGGCGGGGCGGGGGCGCGGGCGGCGGGCGCGGGCGGGCGGGGGCGCGGGGGTCGGACGCCGGGGCCGGCGCGGCGCTCGCTCCCCAGCGAAGCAAACAATGCGGCGAGCGCTCCGCCCGGCGCCCTGCGTGACGGACGCGCCCCGCCCGCCGCCGCCGTGACGCACGCCGCCGGGGGAGGGGCGGGGCGGGGCGGGGCGGGAGGGGCGGAGCCGGGGACGGAGGGGCGGGAGGGGGAGGGGAGGGGGGAGGGGGAGGGAGGCGGGAGGGGAGCGCGGAGAACGGGAGGGGAGGGGCGGGCGGAGGGGGAGGAACAGGGGAGGGGAGGAGGGGAGGAGCCGGCGACGGAAGGGCGGGGGGGAGGGGGGAGGGAGGAGGGGGGAGGGGAGGGGCCGGGGACGGAGGAAGACGGAAGGACGGTAGGGGAGGGGCGGGCAGAGGGGGAGGGGAGGGGCGGGGACGGAGGGAGACGGAAGGACGGTAGGGAGGGGCGGGCAGAGGGGAGGGGAGGGGCCGGGGACGGAGGGAGACGGAAGGACGGTAGGGGAGGGGGAGGGGAGGGGCCAGGGGACGGAGGGGGGAGAGGGACAGGACCTGGGCAGAGGGGACCGAGGGGACGGAGAGGATGGAGGGAAACATGGGTGGAGGGGGGACGGAGGGGAGTGGGAGAGGGGCCGGAGGAGGCGGTGACGGACGGGGAGGGACCAGGGGTTGCAGTGGGGGGACGGAGGGAGGGAAACAAGACCAGGAGGTGGGGAGTGGCGGGGAAGGGGGGATGGAGGGGGAAAGGGGGATGGAGGGGGGAGGGGAAAGGGGAGGGACCGGGGACGAAACAGGAGGGGGGACGGGGGGAGGGGGCGGAGGGACGAAGGGACGGAGGGGGCAGGACTGGACCCCTGGGCTGGGGGAGCCAAGGGAGAGGACGCGGAGGGGGAGAGGTAGGGGCCTGAGGGATGAACGGGGCTCTGGGCGGGCGTGAGGGGAGTCAGAGGGGCCTGGGGGGGGCGGACGGGACCCTGGGCCAGGCAGGGAGGGGGCGGCTGGCCTGGATGAGGGGGAGGACGGGACCCTGAGGAGGGGCCTGGACCCTGGGGGCCGGGTGGAGCCAGGGGCCTGGGGGGGAGGACGTGACCGGAGGGGGCACCAGGGAGGAGGCAGGGGTGACTGGACTGAGGCCGGGGTCCCTGGGCGGGGCCAGAGAGGGCAAGGTCCAAGGGGCGCCAGTGGGAGGGGGTCTAACCGCAGGGGACAGGACACGGGGCAGGGGACCAAGGCCACAGACTGGAGGCGCCGCGGGGCAGGTGACTCCGGGGCATCTAGGGCGGAGCCGAGCTGGTCCCCGGTTTCCGGAGGCTTCACGGGCTCGGTGTCCATGTGGACGGCTGGGGCCCCCGGAAGGCAGCCGGGCCGGGCGACCCCGACTGCAGAAGCCGCCCCTCGCCTCCGCCCCGGGTTCTCCCAGGGAAACATCTCCTCACCCGGGCACGCAGAGCCGAGTCCACCGCCTGGGACCGTGCCGCGGAGGCCTCCCTTGGAGTGTCCTGGGTGGGAGTCCCCCCAGCCCTCTGCCCACGGTGCTTGTGCCTCACGGCACCCAGCCGATGGATGAGAAGTGAAGGCTTGGAGGGTGGGCGAGGGTGGCAGCCAAGGCCCCCCTGGAAGCTCCTGCCCCTGCAGATACATCTTGGACCAGGGCGGAGCTGGCCAGGTGCTGGAGCACCAAGCATGTGGGGACCAGCGCCAGGAGCTGCAGGTGCCCCCCTGCTGTACAGAGGCCTGCTGATCTGACGCCAGACTTGCCAGGACGCCCAGGGGTGGAGGACGTCGGATCGGGGCGCAGCCCTGTGTCCTCGACCTTGGGCCAGCCAGGGGCACACCTACACGCCCCAGCAGGTTACAACCCAGAGCCCGAGTAGGAGGAGATGAGAACCAGGAAGCCTCTTCACACACCTGGAGACGGGGAATGGCTTCCCAGGTGGCAAGGCATGCCCGGGAGAGAAGGACAAACTCATGCTAGTCATGTCAGAGTGACGTTCCCAAATTCCAGGGATAAAGAGACTACCTCCAAAAGCTTCCGAGAAGAAGGATATTGTGTGGTCACACTGAGTCTGATTGCCACTCGGCAAGGAAGCGTTTGTCAAAATTCTAAGAATTGAACCGAGAATTCCCTGTATGACGAAACTCGTTGGTGAGACAGCAAAATAAGGGTGTCTCCACAGTCAGTAAACATCCAAGTTTACCAAGTTACACACAAAGTCTCTAAAAAAAAAAATGCTGGAAGATAGACTCCAGCAAAATGAAGAGTATGTCCAAGAGTAAGACATGGATGCCAGCAGAGAAAATCAAATAACAACTTGAGAGAAAATCCCAGCTGAGCCCCACACAGCATACTGTGAGGGGCGATGACAGCACAAGTTCTCGTATTGTTGGAGGACTTCAGAGTTGGTAGAAAGAAGTTGGGAAACTGAAATGAAGAAAGATTGGCGGTAGCAACAAAAAGCAGAAAAAGATAAATGCTTGGTAAGTAAGGAATATGATATGAAATGACAGGAAGAAATTCAAGTATTCCAGGAATCACAAACATGACTAAATTAATCCATTAAAAGATAGAGACTCTCAGACATATATCATTAGGTACTATTTACAAAAAAAATAGTCTAAAAATGTCACAGAGAGATTGAAAATAAAAGGATGGACAAAGTATGTACCATACAACTTTCGTTCTTCGGCAGACTGTAAAGAGAATGGACAAAAAATTAAAAACCGGAAAATAGTCGAACATGTATACCTTGCAAATGATTAGTGTCCAGAATCCTTTCAAATCCATCAGAAAAAAAAAAAGCCAATAGAATGACACACAAAATCCATAACCAGGCTCCCTGAGGAGAAGAACATGAAAGGGCCAGTAACCGCATTTGTAATTTTGGGGATGCAAACAAATCACACCAAATGAGCACAAATGTGAAAGTCCAACCCAGTGATGACGGGAAGGTGGATCAACTGAGATACGCACACGCTGTGTACGTGGCACAACTGTGTCGGTAAATAACAAGACACGACCCAACAAAGCTGCACGTGGTACCGGTTACGTGTTCCTGCCTAACAAACCAGCTGCAAGACTGTAGCTCAAAATGATAATTGTTCCTTCTGCACACGGAGCTGCCACATGGGCAGGGTTCAGCAGGTGCGGCCTGTCTAGTCCCCGCTGCAGCCCCTGGGATGTCCCTATGCGGGCTGGAGGGCGCACTCCAAGGTGGTGCACTTGGGTGGCCGGTAGGCCGGTTCCAGCTGGGGACGGAGTGGGACCGTGTCCCGAGTCCCAAGAGAACCAGGAGGGACCTGTATCACTTTTCCCATAGTAGCCAGAAGTCACCTAGTGTCCCTTGGGCCCGAGCCTGTCCAGATTCCAGAGATGAGACAGTGCCCTCTGCCCTCAGTGGAGACGAGTGTCAAAGTCACATTTTAAGAGGAAGGAACGTGCTATGGAAGAAGCTGTGGCCACTTGGGGAAAATGCAAGCTGCCTCATGTGCGGCTGCTACGTACCCATTGGTCCATTCCATGCCTGAACGTAGGCCAAAGCCATGCTTGTTCATCACACACCAATGTTCACGACAGCATTTAATGTCGTGATTTCATGGCAAAAATACTGGAAGGAAAAATTTACCTTAATGTCTCTGGACAATAAAATGAACAAAGTGAGGTGTATCCAGACACTGCAATAGCACACAACAGCTTGACAATGAAGGGATTGTTCCACTTGGGGCCACGTGGCCAAATCTCAGACATGCACAACCCTGAATGGGAGGAACTTAAGACTCTAACACAAAGTGTGATTCTGCTGACGCTCAATGGAGTGAGCCAGGACACGTACACGCAAGTATGTACACACACCCCGTATCTTTTCTGAGATCTATTGATGAAGCTAAAGTTCACACTGACAGCTCCAGTTACAATCCAACAGATTTCTTTCTATCCTCCCTTTATGTAGAACTCTTTTTCAACGATGAAAAGACTCGATGCGTTTGGCTAGTAGTTCGCTCGGTCTCTGTTGAAGCTGTGCCAGCCAGACAGTTGACCCAAGACCTCAACCACCACCCCCTGCCCCGCCTGCACTAGGATGTACCTCCAGAAGATAGACGGCTGAGAGCTTGACCTGACAAAGGCATAGAGGGCATCGGCATCCTTTTTTAATGTTCTATTTCCTGGCAGAAGTCAGACGAAACCCTTTTTCCTTGCATTTGATGGACCTCTCGTCTTTGATATAGTAGATTGTGCTTCCATAAACAAGCAAAACATTCTTTAAATGGTATTCTCACTTCCGAATTCAGGAAAGAATCATTTTTAACTGACTCTTTTAATAGAAATTTAACTATTTGCATAATATTGATAGGAATCAGTTCTCTCTCTTTTTATTTACCAGGATGTAATTAGAGAAATTGTGCAACCAAGACCTTATGTGGGTGTCACATTTGAGACTACATTCAGTGTGACCCACCCACCTTAGGAATGAGGGCTGTAGCATCTGTGTTGAATCAATGCCCACAGAGCCCTCAGACCTACCCTACTCAAGTACCTGTCCTGTGGTGTACCAGGTCTTGCTCCTACGAGTAGTAAGGAAACCAAGAACTGTGCCAGGCACCATGGTCCTTGGGAAGATAGGAACTTACCCACGTCCACAGGCACTACAGGCAAATCGGGAAGATCAGTTCGTTCGGTTTCCCAACCTAGGAACAGAAGAGCAAATGAGAGAAAATCTCAGGCATAATAGAGGCTCAACCCCACATTCCTTATGATGACATCTCCAAACGAGTTGATTTTCTGGCCTTCATCTATGGGTAGCACCATATGACTTAGGTGTGCCAGCCCAACAAGGAGGCTCATATGGGTTAATTACCACTTCTTACAGCACCTGCATAGATGAATCAGGTCCAAACACAGGAAGGCCAGCTTTCTGTGGTCAAGAATAAGCTTTGTAGATAATTTATCATCATAAGGAGGGGCTAATAAAAATCTTTCAAGACTTAAGAATGGGTAAAAGGATGGTGGTGGGTCCTGTGGCAGGAGGCTGAATGTCGTCTAGCAACTGTCTGCTAAACCTGCCAAGGGGATTTTTTTTTTATCCTCAAGAGTGTGCACCTGTTTCACTCACTATTTATTGATTATGGTTTTTTTTTTTACAACCCATTAAGGGTACACTTTAACGTGGAGAAAACAGACAGCTAGATATAACGATCCCCACCTGATAGCAGCACAAATAAATTTTGTCCAGGAGTAAGGGGTAGGAATTATTTCTGTCCGGTAAAAAAGATTACAATTAGAAGAGGTTGCTGTTTCATGGCCCTACAGAACATTAGCCAGTCTTTGATCTAAATTAGCGAGCTTACTCAAGCAAGCTTGTCTTTAGCCACTACCAGTACTTCCTCCTGTCTTCAGTCTTTTACCAAACTTACTGTCATGCTCGTTTCCCCATTAATGATTTAGATAAATCTTGGACACATCCTCACTTTAGAGTTGTAGAGTCGTATTTTTAATTTTTTGAAAATTATGCCTTGATGGTCCCTACATCTAGCTGCCTCTCAACATCCCTCTATAATATCTAATAGGCATCTTAAAATTAACGTGCCTGATATTCAGCCCCCGGTCTTCATCCCCAAACTTCTCCTCTGTTGTCTTCCCCATCTGTTATGTGTTGGATTGTGTTCCCCAAACGATATGCTGACCCCCAGTAGCTGTGAAGTGGATCTCATCCAGAAACAGGCTCTTTACAGATGGTGAAGGTAAGAGGAGGTCATCGGGGTAGGTCCTCGTCCAACAACTGGTGTCCACATAGGAAGAGGGAAATTTGGACGTGGACACACAGGCCGCGAGAAGGCCGTGTGGACAGTGGCAGAGACTGGAGGGATGTAGCCGTTGGCCCAGGGAAAGCCGAGACTGACAGCCACCAGCAGCTGGCAGAGACAGAGGAGGATCCTGCCCTACAGGTTTCAGAGGGAGTGCTGGCCTCTAAACTATGAGACAATACATTTCTGTTATTTTAAGTCATCCAGTTTGTGGCTACTTGGTTATGGTAGCCATAGGACACTAATCCACCTTCTTAGTAAATAGTAACTTCATGTTTCCTGGGTGAGAGGCATTGCCTTCCTGTGCCCATCTGATCCATCAGGAAATCTTATTAGTTCTCCCTTCAAAAGGTGTGCAGAACCAGCCTCAGGTCACCACCTGCTCTGCTACCGGGCCCAGTCACACCTGGATTATTTCAGTATCCTGACTAGTCTCTCTGTTTCACCTGTGAACCCGTATACTCTTTCTCTACACAGCAGCCCAAGTGATACTGCCACCTTGCAGTGGCTCCCCATCTCTCTCAGAATAAAAGTCAACGTCCTCGAACTCACAACCAAAAAACAAACAACTAGCTTAAAAATGGGTTAAGGACTCGAGCAGACATTTCTCCAAAAAAGACATACAGATGACCAATAAGCAAATGAGAAGGTGTTC